CAGCCTTCTCCAGACCTAGGTCAGGTATCTAGAGTGACCTAGATCCTAGAGCACCCAGAGCTGAATATTACCTGCTATTACGCTAATGAAATCAACTCAGATATACTGGCAAAATTTCATGAAAAAGAACATCTCTTCCACTACTTTGAGAAGTAAAAAGAATAAATATGGGTAAAACATGAAAGACTAGCTCTGATGGACTCCTTTCTACACTTCTTTACAGGCAAATACGTGACACTGTACACTGGATGTTCAGTGAACCAATGCTTGTTTACTACATTGGTGTGTTTCGAGATGCTTTTTGGCCAAATGGAAAGTTAGCTCCACCACCGAGAGCCAAGAGCGATGAACAAAAGCAAGAGACAAAACAGAGAGCACAGCAAAAACTACTTGAAAACATTCCAGGTGAGATCACTTTGATTCTGCTTAATCACAGTTTTAAAAACTAGTAAGGAAACTGGTTAATCAAATTATTTTCCTGTAGAGTTCTAAATTATGATTATTTGCATAAATAAGGATGATTTTGGTCTTAGTCTTTACCTCTTTTGCCTGTCTGGTAAAAGGCATGGATTCGGATATTATTGGTGGATGCAAAATCAAAATTGCTGTATTTTTGTGCATAATGTTCATCAACGAATCTCAGTCAATTTTCTCTCTGCTGGTTCTCTGTGAGCAAATGTGTGGCTCTGCTACTTGGAATTTCTTGCCAAATAGGAGAGTAGCACCACCCCAATTACTTCTTCCTCTTATAGTTTGAAGTTGGAGAGAGAGAGATCTACCTATGCTGTCTGTGCTGTGTGTTGTCTATTTCTGATAGGAGGTCTCAGGGCACTTAGAGTGACCTGCAGCCTGGGCAGAAGATCCTAGATGGAGTGTTTTTTCAGTATTTTCCTTTGCCTACCTCATCTCCCAAGCCTGGGCAGCTGCCTTTTCAGCCAGCATGTTTTTGGGGCAAAATCCTGAGATGCTCCATCCCATCCCACTCACAGGACATGAAATCCAGTTACATATTTCTGACTCCTCAGAGATCATGTAAACCCAAAGGCATCTAACTGAAAAGACTCAAAATCATTACTGTTAACACTTGGAAATGCACTTCAATATAGCTTGGATGCTTTTTTTCTGCTCCATCTGAAGAGAATGAGCTATTTTATGGCTTCACTTAGATATCTCATATACCCCCATGCATTAGGTAGTTTAATCAACTTTTACTGTGAAAAAGGAGTAGGTATGCATACAAAATTTATATTTTGATGTGTAAACAATGCTTCCATATACTACCTGTGTTATCTACTCATCTACTTGGCTACTAAATAGCTTTCCATAGTTGGTTTGTGGTATTTGATTTTCTGTTCATTTCTGAGCTTGGAGCCATATGTCAGAACATAGCTGAATGCACCTTAGATTAATGATGGAGCACTGAATTACTATTTATTCTCTAATTTAATCCAAAGCGTAAATAATTGACTTAGAATTCTTTTAACTGCCTTCTTGAGGGAAGTATTCTCTGTGAAGATTGAAAGGCAATTAAACTGCTATATTTGTTCTAAATGTTGTAGAAGTTGGTCTTTGTGGCTGAAGGTGTATTTAAGTGAAAGGTTTAATGATGTGAGATGAGACTTGACTCAGTAAGGTGAACTACTGAAAAAGCATTTGATGTATCATGTTAGAACGCTTAAAATGTTCTGAGATGCACACTTTATTAGGTAACTGGAGAATAAGGGTACCTTTTCAAGCTGTGTTTTTAAAAGGTTGGTGAGTGGGGACTTTATGTATCTTGTAGCCAAGGGCCAATGAAGTGCAGTGGATCTGTTTCCCCTTCTTTATGAGTCTTTATGGTTGAACTAGATGATCTTGAAGTTCTCTTCCAACCATTATGATTTTGGGTAGCAGAATGATGATTCTGGCTGGAGGTTTTGCCTAGCATGAGTGAAACAACATAAACTGAAGTAATGTTTGTTGCAGATACTCTGCAGAATCTTGTTGGACAACAAAATGCCCGTCATGGTGTAGTGAAAGTGTTCAATGCATTGCAAGAGAGAAAGGCTAATAAGCATCTACTTTATGTGAGTAACCAGAAAAGTAGCTTTTTAACTTCATAATCCTGTAAGTTACTGAGCTCTATGCACTCAGTATTAAAGCCTGGGTGGGGTGGGGGGGGTGGGGTGGGGTGTTTTTGCAGAGATTTATTATTAAAATAAGTCAGTTGCTCTAGGTTTGATCACCTGATTAAGTTTGAATAACAAAAGACTGTTTAATAGCAGCATTGTTTTTGTCTAAAAGAAATCTTTTACCATATCCAATGTGCCTGACTTCATAAGGTACAAACTAACTTCTTCATACAGCTTAGAAAAATAAACATATCTTGGAGAATCCCAGAGGAGGAGAACTTCAGGATGGGCTCATAGGACATGACAGCCCTCTGGAAGTTCCACTCCTCAGCTGTTGGGAATAGTTGGAATATGCAGCTGGATCTAAGTACAACACCTTTGCAGTCAGTCTCTTCTGGCACATTCCAGACAGCAGCCTGTCACACAATGCTGCCCTAGCACCAGAGAGGAAGTGCATGCCCTGGTGCTTGCTTATGATGCTATGGAGTCTTTGACAGAACAGCACCAGTTTATACTGGGTGGGAAATCCTTATCTGAATGGAGCTGCCCTCAACACTTGCCTCCTTTCAACCTTAAGACATTTCCCATGTTACCTGTAGGACATGTGCTAACTTCTGGATGAAAGAAAAGTAGTTGTACAAATGATGACTGTAATCAAATGTATATGGTTTTGTTATTTCTGGTTATCTAAAAATGACAGAAAGGAAGAAGAAATTTGGTTGGTACCTGCATAATTTTAACTCTTTTCTGTTTTTCAGGTTTTGCTGGAACTGCTGCTAACTGAACTGTGTCCTGAGCTGAGAGCTCATTTAGAGCAGCTTAATGCCACTTAGGTTTGAATCTGCACAATTGGACCACTAGAGAAATGTCTATGTTTAAGAATAGACATGAAACTTATTTTCCTCTTTTCCATAGAGGGCTGAGGACTATGATTATTTTTAGCATTTTTCTTTCCTCTTGAGTTTTTTGTGAAGTACAGACTTGAAAAGATCTGATGCTGTTGTAGGGTAGACAAGAAATGCTGTATAGCTGCCAATTTTTATTTAAGTTGTTCTATTTGACTACTCCTCTGTTTCAAATATAGATTGAAAAATAAATGTTCATATATGCTCAAAGAAGCCAGAAGATATTTTAAACATTTATGGAAAGAAATTTTGCTTATAGTGGTAAACTAATGAATGTTGTACAGTTCTAATCTCCTCACTGAGGATCTGAGCATTCCTTTTTTTTTTCTTGTGTATTGAAAAAGCCTTGTTGTGCAATACTACATGTAAAGCTATTGTGAAAATTTTATCAATTTTGGTTTTACCAAAGATTTCCTGTAGTTTGAAGCATTTGTAAGCAATAAATATCACAACTGGATTGCAGCACTTGATAATGAGGCTGTACTGACAACGGATCAATGGGTTTGACAGCACTAGTTTCATAAGAAGTATCTACATTGCTTTGAAGTCTGTGTCAAAATTATGTATTGTAAACTGGTATGTCCTAACAGAATGCTTGTGTTAAATGTTAGTTCAGAGATTAGTGCTTATGAATTGCTTCTATGAATGATCAAGCAGACATTTAATTAAACCATTCTGATATCTTCCCTGATATTATTCAGGGCTGTTTTATTCAAATGCCCCAATTTCAAATAACCTTCAAATCTTTCTCTTATTTTATACAAGGAAAGAAAACTGTCTTCAGTGGTTGTTTTTTAAAAATTTATGTTAAAATATGTAAATATGATGTTAATGCACATCTAAATAATTAAACATAATCAAAAATCCCTAGCTGACACTCATTACTGTCTTCTCAGTTTGGTACAGTTGTGGTTTTAGAAAAATTACTTGCAGTTATGACTGGCTGTATTGTATGGTACATACAATCTGTATGATCTATTGAAATCAACATTTTTAGTAACATCTAACCTTCTGTTCCAACAGTTTCAGAAGAGTTTTCAAGTTGTGGCACAGTACTAAGAAGCAAGGCAAATTCTGCACTTCGAAAGCTTCACAAGTAAACAGGCATTTAGAAATGTGCAAGCTTACCATAGCAATCAGTAAGTTTTCCCAGTGTTTAATCAAAGTATCTTTTGATAAAAGATCCAGCTTGATGTTGCTCAGACATAAATACCCCTAGCCAAAAGATTTCCAGCTATTTCTATTGCAGAGACAGTATGAATGCAATATGAAGGATTGAGGAAAACAGGCCTTGTCCTGAGGATGTATATTCAATTTTTCCATACTAATGTTAGAGGCTTTTTTTCCACAGTTCTATAAGTAGTATTTATTAGTTTGAGAAGCTGGTATGGTTTGAATTGTAAAGCTTGATGTTCCACTGGACAGTTTTCAACTTTGAATCTCTGCAATCCAAAAGTAATATGTATAAAGACTTCTAAGTAAATCTAGATGCTGTAGAAAGTATGTGGAAGGAGGTACAAGCACCACTAACAAATTAAGCTTTAAAAATAGCTATGGCCTGTGAGTGGGCTGTATGTGAAAATTAGACAAGTTTGGGTTCAAGCTTTTCAGAATATTAAAATTTAAATATTATAGATGCAAAAAGGAAACAACCATCTTTATTTGGTTTTGTTTTGATGAATGTGCTAGGTAGCAATATGACATGAAGAAAATAAATCTGTCCCAGTGAAATGTCCTTAATAAACCTAAAGTCTTCAATATGATTTAAAAAAAATCCATCTTGACTTCATCCGAGTTAAAGATAGTGTGAGCTTTCTATTTTCTCTTTATTTTAGATAACATGAATCAGTGAATTGCATTAAATAATAATTTATAGAAAGTTGAAAAGCAAGCAGTAAGTGATGAACAATCTGTAATTGCTGGAGAATAATGATGGTTTATTGTAGGAAATATATTTATATACCAGTTACAGTTAAAAGAAACACTAAATTCTCCCAAGATTAGCTGCCAGTTCAAGGTGAGAAGCAACAGCAGGATCCAGATGGCATGCCTTTAAAAGCAAAGAATATCAGTTCTGGTTTATAGCTACAATAAAATTGTATGTTACCAATATGACATTAATAAATCTTTAGGTGTCAAAAAAAAAGAAGAGACTGTCAACTTGCTGAAGTATTGAAGAGTTAACATATTTGGATTTGAATCCTTTTTCTGATGCCACGTAATAAAAAAAATAGTATTAAAATTAGCATACTGGACTATAGTGTTAGTCTTGGCTTTTTTTTATTCTGTGTGTTGGCATGGCATATGTAGCACCACAGTCAGAAAAATAAATCTGCTTACAGACTGGATGAGTTTCACTTGCATCCATCATCTATTTCAGGACCCTTAGGCATGCCCATATTCTCTCATCTCTTACAAAACTGACTTGGTCTAAGAATGGTAGGCCAAAACCAGAGCTGAGGAGTCAATTAAAACAAATATGACTTTAAGTAAGTGTAATTGTACAGTTAACATGAGAATTTTGCAGGTACAAAAAAAATTTGAATTTTCTTGTTTATTTTATGCTGCTTCTCTTTTGTTATTGATTTAGAGACACATGACATCAGTCATAGGAACCATCTCTTTATAGTGATACATTAGGGACATTCCTAGATCAGTCTCAGGTGTACAGCAAGTGAATAATGAGTGAAAGCTGAAGTCTTCTTTCAGTTGTGGCAGTTTTACTACACTTTAGAAGACAGTGGGAAGGGCATGGCACAAAGCCATGCAGCAATTTAATCCTGATGGACCTCTTCAATGCCTTTGCTACGAATGGCTGTAATACCGCAGCTTATGTTCCTTCCCTGATTGCCTCCTCATCCTATCCTCAATAACATTTTTCACAGTGGGAGAACAAAATATTTAAAATGCCTGTATTCAGATTACCTGCTCTGCTAAGCCTTCTCTATCAGTGACTTCCGTGGGTAAAGAGCCACAAAATTCACTTGAAAATTTATTATTTCCATAATTGTCCATTCATTTAGATTGCACCAAGATGGACACCACAGTAGTCTACTTACAGAAAAAAACTGGTCACTACATGCATAGAAGCCACAGAGTCTCTGAAACACAGGTGCCAACTTGCTACATTCCCTTCAGCTGGTAAAATTACCTTGCCTTGATGCCTTTAGGCATCACTGATACTACTCAATAGATCAATGTTCTAGAGGCCATTATTAGTATTTTTCCTCAAGGTTAATTTTCATCAGTCTTACACCAAATTTGGAACTTTGGAAAAAATGTAACTGTTTTTTTCCCCATATATATATTGAACAGGAAAAGCAGTAGATCCTCAGCTATCACAGAAAATGTAAATACAGAAATAAGCATGAGAACCAGTTATGGCCAATTTAATAAAAGTTATAATTGTCACAGACTCTATAAGGAGAAGTTATGATTTTTTCAGTTGTGAGAGAATGACAGAAAGCAAATTTATTTAGGATAAAATGATTCAAATTGTTTAGCTAATTTATCCTGCCAGTTACTGAGCTCTTTTCTGTGATGATTGCCATAGATTTTTTTATTGTTGTTGTTGGTTATATTGCTTGTTTAAGCAAGTGGGCAGATAGCATCCTTTCAAGGTTATTTTTAGTAGTTTTCAGTACATTTCTATCAGTCTACATGTTCTTGCAAATATTTTTTTAACACAGTGTTGGAGTCCTTAATAAAATAGCAAGTTTAGACTAGGCTTAGATCCAAGGTATCTCTCTATTTCATGAGATATAAACCAGTCTGTAAGACTTTCTCAACTTACTTTAGAATAATACTTTGCAGCAGCATGCTTGTTTTTCTCTGTGCCTTGGCCAAGCTGGAGGCATCTAGCCAAATAGAAAGCAGCCATAGCAGCTCCTTTGGCTATATACATTGGATGACAGTCAGTTCTATTGGCTAGCATGTTGATGTCATCATTTGCTGTAGCCCTGTTGTGGAATTTAGAGCATTACATTAAATAATTGCTAGTTCAAGCAATAATTAAAGTTGACCATATATGACTTCGACAATGCTTCACTTCTGTTTATATTATTATCCAAAATAAGCTGAAATTTACATGTATTTGGTGTCTTATGGGGATTCTTCTATTTTGTATTTAAGTTAGTCTTATTTGAATTTTGTGGTATTAAACAGCAAGCAAGTACACAACACTTGAAGTCACTTTTACTACAGCTATATTAGTTATAAAAGGCAACATATTTTATGCTAATTGTTCCCACTAAATTATTTTATGGAAATTATATGTGGAAGAAAGGCAAAGCTCTTATTTCATGTAGCTCTTATTTAATCTTATTTCACTACGTGAGCAATCTCATGTATTGGAAAACGTCCCTGGCCACAGCACAGGGGCTGGAAGTAGACAATCTTTAAAGAGCTAATCCAAACCATGCTGTGATTGTATGATTCTAAAATTTCCAGTTCTTACAGGGATATTGGCAAATTGTAGTAATCTGAAAATCTTGGACATATTGAGAGGTTATAAAACTCTAGGAAAACCACTTATCACAATCTCGGCTCAATTATTTCCTTCTGCATGCTTGCTGTCATCTTAGTTCAGTATGTTTTTACTAAGAACCATTTTAAGAATCAGAGGGATAAAATTAATTTTGTTTTAAGTGTCAAGCTAAAATTATCTAGTATAATCACTGTAATATTAGAAAATTATATGCCTAAGTGGGAATTTATTTTTTTGTTGTCTTAAAACAGATACCCCCAAGCCCCATATATTTTCCAGGTACCAAACAGTAATTATAGGCTTCTTTACACATCATTTTAGCTGTGTAAAAATCACAGACTTGACAGGAGAAGAAAAAGTGCAAGTAATTTCAGTTTATAGATACTTCCTATAAATCACTGTTTATGAAAGATTGTTCTCAATGACCCTCTGCATGCCAGTGCATACTAGCAGGCATGTGTTGAGAATGATGTTCTTACACCTAATTTGGTCCCATCAACAAACACAGTAACACAATTGTTCTTATTAGGAAGAACATTCAAATAAAACAACAGTAATATATTACCTCTTATTATTCCTGATGCATAACATTTTCCCCTTCCTTTCCAAAAGATAATCTACAGAATGTTGATTCAAACAATGATATCCAAGTCAGGCAAAAATTCTATTTCAGCATAGCTGACTTCAAGAACATACCACAGCAACTGGTAAGTACAACTGTGTGGGATAACTGAATTATTTGAAGTATCAGTAGGTAATGTAGATGCCAAATATTAGGCAATGTTTTACTGTACATAGTCACATAATGTTTTATGCTTGTATATAATGTAACAAATGTAGTTGCTATGAACATAGAAGGACAAATTTTAGCAGAAAATGTATTGGTGCTTGATATTACTGGCTGAACTGCTGAGATTTTTGCCTCAAGGCTATCTTCAATTCTAATTAGGTGGAACTGTTTCAAGTATGGTTTCAGTGTTTTATTTCAGAAATGGTCACCTCTGACAGTACTGTGGGATTTCATTGCTATTTTCTGCAATCGCTATTGCAGCTGATGAGGTGCACTCTTTAATAAAGTCTGGACAATCTACCATGCAGCATTGACTGGAGGGGCTTCATTCCCAGTGAGACAGGCTAGACAAGACTGAACAGTTATGGCTCTATTGACAGTGCAAAAGAAAAGCAGCAGTTCACAGAGGAAGAGTCCTCAGCATGGAGTAGAGCAAACAGCATCCACAGCTGAACTACTGAATTACCAGAGCTTCTACTACACAGTGGCATACAGTGCAGCTTCTGTAAGATGGCAAGCTGTGACATGGTTATTGCTGTGCAGCAGCAGCTATGTGGACATACCCCGAAGAGCACAAATGTTATTGTGTGCCACTTGTGCAAATAATCTATCTGCATCTTTTTTTCCAGCAAATCAATAATCTGATTGACAGACTGAACTTTTATCAATACACTGGTAAACTCTGGAGGTTTGTCACAGAAATGGGTTGTTTATCAGCCATAGATCATTGTGCCAACACTGCTCTGGTCCTACTTGACTAGTTCAAGATACAGAAGTGGACCTGAAGTGGCCACTTGTGCCATGTTCCAACCAACTGGGGAATAAGCCAGGCCAACCAGAGCAGCAACAAATGTTCCTTAGCTGCTTCCCAGGTGAGGACCAGAAGACAACCACCTCAAGTGTATGAGGACAGTGCACACAGCCTGGGGACCAAACAGGAGGAACTGGAGCTCTGCACCCACCCAAAGTCACACAGCCATAGGAATAACTGAAGCCAGGTGGAAGAACTCACGTTGACAGGAGGATTGTGATGGATGGATAGGCTGTTTTGTAAAGACAAAAAGAGGAGGAGTCATGCACTGAATTAAGGAGAATCTTGAATGTGGAGAAGTTAACTGTGGCAATTCTGGAAGCCTTATTGAATGCCTCTAGGTCAGGATCAGAGGGATCATCTCACGAGGGATTTTACACTAAGCATATGTTACTGACCTCTGAATCAAGACAGTAAGACCAACAAGATAATACCTGGGTCACTTAAGTAAGCTTTGGTAACAGAATCTGGATCTTAAGGGTGACTTCAACTGCCCAGGCATTAGGTGAAAGAAGAATACAGCAACTCCCAGGACATCCATGAAATTCCTGGAATAGAGCAGTGGATTACAGCTGCCTCAATTGTCAAAGTGCCAATCAGGAAGGAGGCACTGCTTGACTTGCTACTCACAAATCAAGAAAATCTGCTTTGTAGGACCTCAGTGAGTGATAGCCTTGGGTGCAGTGATACAATATTGAGTATCTGGGATCCAGTTGAGCACTCTGAGGGTTAGTACTAACACAAAGGTTTCAGATTTCAGTATAGTAAACTTCAGCTCACAACATAGTTGGGAGAGTCTCCATAGGAAGCTTCTATGGAGAATAAAGGAGCTAGTGTGTGCTGGGAATTTTTCAATAATGCTCTCCTGGAAGCACAATGAACTGTCAATTCATCCCCTTTAAAGGTAAGGAAAGTAGGTAGCAAGAGACCCTGGAGAATCATACCAAAGATGGAAAAGCAGGTAAAGGGAAGTGGTGGATTCACTGACCTTGTACACTTTTAAGATTCAATTGGACAGGATGCTGTGCTGGGCCACTGTGTCTAGACTGTGCATTTGCCAAGGAAGTTGGCCCAGATGATTACTGAAATGCCTTCCAACCTGGGGAGTCTTTGACACTATGACTTTAGGGGTTAAAGGGAATGGTGAAGGCAGGAACCTAGAGGAGACAGTGAATGAGGAAGGCAGGATTGCATGTGGGCATCTGCTTTGGTTTCTAGTTCAAGGCTGTTCTGCTTTACTGAATCAGAAGGAAAAGTTTAATCATACTGAGGAATTGAGAACCTTGTAGTATTAATTTTGTCATTGGCTATTCTGTTGTTAAAGTCGTTTTGCAGTTCATTATCTCAAACATTTCTTGAGTTCAATAGACAGGACCATCAATAATTTGAATCTGTTTTATGTGATCTTGCACAAAGAACCTTAATGAAAAATAGAACAAAAATTACCTTTTGGCTAGTGCAGCAGCTTTTGAGTAAAATTTTCTAGTGTAGTAATATTCTACAAGATGGCCTTGAGCATAGATGTTTCCAAGTTCTGTTGCTTTTCTCAAATGCTCCAAAGCAGCTGTACTGTTTCGACGTATACCTTGTCCATAGAGATACATAATGCCAAGTGCTCCCTTTGATTCCAGATTTCCATTGTCACATGCTTCTGAATGCCAGAAAAAGGCCTAAACAAGAGGCACAAAGCTGCAGTATGTATTTACTTAGCTGATTTTCTTGTATACTCTTTCCATAAAAGTTTTTACACCAATCATCCTGTAAGAAGTGCTTATACATAAAAGAAAGAAGAATCCTTGTAAGGCTTTTAAACCTGCTTCATTTACAGCCAGAGCTGTCAATCAGTGTTACCTGCTGGAATTATGAAGGTAACCAAACCTGACAAAACTTTAATCCATTCTATCATTCTTTCTGATACTCTCACTAAAGAAAACAAAAATCTTAGCTAGCAGTGTTAAATGAGACAAAATGAGGAATTCTGGCTATCTGTTCGCACAGGCTTAAATGGATGATAAGGTCTAATTACTCTAAATAGAATTTTCACAGTCAAATATACCACTGTATTATTTTTCTGAAATTAAAAATTAGTCATGACTACTTTTTATTTCAAAAGGTAGGGCTTTACCTTCTTCAGATTTTTTAGAAACGGCATAGAATAAAGCATTCCTAAAGCACTCTGGGCCTTTACACTTGCTTTTGGATTCCCATTGTCTGCAGCAGTAAGCCACAACCTAAGAAAATGGGGACAACAAAGTTTAAGAAACACACAATCTTGTATTTTTCAGGAAAATCACAAACTGCCCTTACCTTTCAGCCTCTTCAGTTGAATGTTTAACACCACATCCTTCATAATACGCCCTGCCAAGATTGTATGCAGCTGCAAACTTCAAGTGACTTGCTTCTGGGGAATCAGAGTTGAGTATTTTATTCATGTATTCCACTCCCCTTTCCTAAAATTCAGCCACATAAGTTGTTATATTCAGATTGTGAAGAGGATGAAATATATAACCTGAGAATGCACTAACTTCTGCCAGACAGGTAATTTTTTCCCCTTTGAAGAAAGGCTGAGGCATACTGGCAGGACAGCTTGGGAAACAGTGCCATACAAAAGCAGAACTGATCTTCGGTTACTAGACAGCCCCTCAGTTTTTGAGCCCAGAATATTTCTAGTGTGAAACATTTCCTCATAAGTGTTCATTTGATAATATATTACTCTTCTTCACTGACAAGTTTTTTCCCAAATAATATTATTGTGCTTACATAAATGAATGTCACATTCTACACTTGTAATATTCTCAATTTCAGAATTCTGAGAACTTTTTAATATTGCACATTGTATCTGAAATCATAAAACAACCTTAACAAGAAGGCAACATGATACATAGTACATTTTGAAGTCCCTGCAATTAAAATACCTTAGACTCATAAAGGACAAAATCTGATAATGTTAAATAAGCAGATGGAAAATATTGCATATGAGCAACTGGGCCTCAGAAGTACTTTAGAAACAAGATTTACACAGTTAGGATTTAGCATGGAAACCCTGTTTAAATTCACTGGAAACAGTCCTTTATAAAAGGTTTTGCTTTTATTTAGCTTTCATATTGTAATACACAAGAAAGAAAGAACTTTGTTAAAATGTTTATTTGCAAGTAAACAAACGTGGTAATTATGCAGACATACAGAAAAAATAAACTACCTCTAAACCCCAATCAGAATGTTTTAAGTTCTGCTGACAATGCTGTAAGGACCAGACAGGAGTCTGTATTTGTTAATATACTCTTTGGTTCTTTTTTTTTTTTTTTTTTGGCTGTCTGTCTTACAATCAACCCTCTTATTCCTAATGCTTTTGTCCTTTCCTCATGCCACTTTTTAAGATCATCTCCACCAACAAGTTAACTCTCCTTATTGTAGCAAAACATTCCTTTGTCTTCATTTTTGTAATATAATTCTTAGGTTTGAATTCTTCAAAATGCTTACAAATATAATTTTTCATATGTCTTAATTTAAGAATAATACTGTCAGCCATTGGCAGAAGCACAATCATCTGGCATCTCTTCTAAAAGAATAGAAAGTACTTTAAAAAAGCCTTTGTGCCAGAGATCTTATGCCTTGAAATGTAATTGTTTGATTTCCATTTTGACTCACTTTATTTTCATGTACATAATATGCTTGTCAAAAAGTAAAAAATTTAAAGCAATTTTCTAACATAGCTTCCACATCAAGTCCAACCAAGCCCTTGAAAGTTAATTTAAAAATAGAAATTACTGTATTTTTTTATTCCTATTTTATTATAACCATTTTTGAGAACCTCTTCAACCCTTTGTTCTTTAATGATGCTCTGTAAACATCTGCACTTTATGAAAACTCTCTCTAAATGAAAAGGCTGTTAATTTTAAACTAAATAATCATGCTTACATAGAAGCTCCTAGTAATTATCATCTGATAATAGAAGAAAAATAACAAGTGTGCAGCTAAATTACTCACAGGGTCTTTTTTAGTGCCAAGTCCATCATAATACATTACACCAAGCTGATACATTGCTTGAAAATCTGTATCCTTGATTTTTTCAAATTGCTTTAATGCTTCTTTGTACAACCCCTGGGAAAGAGAAAACAAACAATAACTCTCTGATATATACACCCTTACAATTTTTCAACCTGGTGTATTTCTCTCATGAACGAAGAACAAAAAAATTGCAACCACAGAACTGGCAGAAAACAAAGTTAACAACCAAGAAAGTTGGGTAACCAAAAGCCATTCTGACAAACTTTCTCCCCTCCCACAAATGGCCACAAATCTTTTCAATTTGAGGAGATAAACTCTAGTTCAGTCCCTGCTCCATCTATCTGACATCCTTTAACTTAGGTCAGCTGTTCTTACACCTTGAGGATGTAATAAGGGTTGGTTTCATGAAGACAAAAAAAACATGTCTGAAGATGTTAATGGACCCAGATGTCTGCTACACATTTCTTATGGAGGCATCACCAGCAACAACAGAGGTTCTTTCACTCCTAAGAATGAATCTCAAAGAGTACTTGCTTCTGCATTAAGTCTAAGAAGAAATCACATTTAAAAATACAGTTAAACAACTGTAATACAACAGTTAACTGAGCTTGGTGTCCTAACTGAATATTTTTACACATAAACACTTAAGTAAAAACAATAGTGAAATTAAAATATTCTTCTCTATATTTTTACTTAAAATTTTCTGTGTGTTTTGATAAAAAAAAGGGCAAACTGCAAAAGCTTGGAACTGAGTAACAGTTTGTCAGTCAAATGACCTCACAACCACCAATTGTCCCCTATTAATACTGACCAAGGTATTATCTTAAACTACTAATTATCTTGGGAGCTTATCCATTATGACTGTGGAGTCTTTGTATTTTTAAAGAACACTGGAAAAAAAAAAAGCCAGTTTTCTTTTTGCAACTAGCTGTCATGAATATCAGAAAAAGAAGTACAGGAGGCACATTTAATCTCTCCTGAGAATTTAGTGCTCTGTGAAGGAGACATAGAGCTGTGATTAGGAAGTGGGATTTTTTTTCCCCAATATCTAAAACTACAGTGATATGAGCATGTGCATTTTTAGGCACTACAGATATACATTTAAAAAAATCTGAAAATTAAAACCTGCTCAAAGAATAAATTTAGGGATGTACAGCAATATTTATTATGGACATCCAAGCCAGCTTGTCAAGAAACAGACAGGAGTCTGTTCATTCAGCTCCATGGAGTTAGTCTCAGGTAATTCATAAATGGAAACACTAAGGACAGGGCCCAGAAAGCAGAAAGCCTGAGTGAGTTAATTCTGTTTATGCTGCAGTGAGACTAATTTACACTGTACCACTGCTGCACTGTACACATGTAAATCCGTGCATGTCACATCAGAAAATACCTGACTCGGTGTTTGTACATTCTTTTCTATCTTCCTGAACTAAGTTCTAATTTCCTAGGAAGCTGAGGTTTAAGTTCACCTGCCAGCCTGTCTTACTCTGTTTTCTGAGGATTTACATTCAAAGACTTGGATGACCAATTTTAGCTGAAGTGAGCAGGGACAGAGATTTTGAAGATAATACATTTCAACAAGTTCCAGTTCCCAGGCGGGGAACAAAGATCAGAAGCTGTGTCTTGGTCAGGGCCCACTCTCACTGTAACTGAAAACAAAAGTCTGTTGTATTTGGGCAGCCAGCTGCCCAAAAACCCAACCTGGCTTGGAAGTTAGCTATAAGGATAGGCTACTGCATACTTATCTAGTCCTTAGGACACCTGTGAGGGAACTGGAATACCTCACTAGATGCTTGCGGAAAGTGTAGCTTATTTAGGGGGTGATTTTAACAGATGAAATCAGGCATAAGGCACCTCTTTTAGGTATTTTAAGGGTTTCTTTTTTCACTGAAAAGGTGTTGAAAATCGTCTGCTTTATAATATTTACTTAAAAGAGGGAAAGCACCTTTTCATAGTATCGTTGTCCATCCAGAAAAGGTGCTGGAGTGTGTCCACCTGCCTCTCTCCTCACCAGCGACTCCTCAGATTTTGCCAACAGCGCACCGTGGGAGTGGTTCTCTGCTTAAGAACAGACACACGTTTGGGTTTGTCCCCTAAGAAACCTGCGTAAATACAGTAGAGGCCTGAAGCTGGCCGGGTCCCCTTTTTAATATGTTCTTTAAAAGAGTAAGATGAAAGAGAAGGCTCTGTTATAAACCGAAAGCTGAGTGAAGCCAGCTCGAAGGAGACAGTGAATGCAGCCGGCCCTTGCGGGAGCGCTGTCCGCCGCGGAGGAGCCGGAGCCCGTGCCTGAGCAGCGCGGGGCGCTGCCGGCGCGGAGCGAGCCGTACCTGGCCGGGCCGGGCGCGGCGGCAGCGGCTCGCAGCGCAGCGCCATCCAGCACCGCCGGTCCAGCTCCCCGGGCAGCCCCGCGCCCGAGGGCGGCTCCCGATCCTGCCGGGATGAGCCGTCCCAGGCCCGGGGATGGCCGCGACACAGCGCGGCCGCGGCCCTCGCGGGTGCCTGGCTCCTGTCGCGGCCGTCCCTGGATCGGCTCTTGCTGCCGTGCCGGGGCCTGCCGCAGCCCGGCCCGGCCCGTGCCGGCACCCGGCGCCGCTCCATGGCTGCGCCCGGTCCCGCGGCCTTCGGCGGGCGGGAGGAACGCCGGGAATGTAAGGACGGCGTTTCCCGTGGGGCTGTGCTCCTCCTCCGGCCGTTGTGCGGTGCGAGCTGTCGGTGAGCAGCGGGACGGGCTGGGCAGCCGCGTCCTCCCTGCTGCCGCCGGTCCTGTTGGAAATTAACAGCCCAAACTCTGAATGCAATTCAGAGAATAAGGCACCAGGCCGTGACTCTTCAGGCTAGCAGGCAGGACTTCACGCCGCTTCCAGTGAGCAGAAACTGTTTGTTGTAATGTAATGGAGTTTGTTTTGCCCATATTAAAAAACTTGAAATGATAATTGAGAGAAAACGTTGTTCGAGGTTTCTCCTGAAATGTAAAGCATTGCTTCCACTTCTGTTGATTGCTTCTGGCTGTCTCTCTTTCAAAAAGGGATTAATGTGAAAATGTGTGAGAGTGCTTTCAGAATAATCTTTAGCTGTGCTCGCAGCTTTTATTTATTTTTTTTTTTTTCCCAGATGATTATCATCCTTCCATTTTTGGCAGTGTGATCTGTTTCTATAGCGACAGGGACAGAGGCAACAACAGGGAGAGTGATGCTTGCAGATTTGTGTGGTTAAAACCGTGTGCTCAATGTGATGTTTTCCAGCAGTCCCAGGTGACTTTAAGTACCAAGAAACTCCTAAAACTAATCCTGATTCTTTTTGTGTAGATGATATAACCAAAGAAATCTACAGGATTTTTTTAAAGTATCAACTAATGACTTGATTTAACAGGCAGAGTGAAGAACAGTAAGTGAAAGCAGCAGTACTCTTCAGCAAAGAACTATCAATGGGCTGCATGGCTGCTTTTGATGCAGAAGGGTGTGAGATTCACCAGCACACTTTGGTTTATCTGACTGCTTACACATTTATAAGAACAATTTTTCCAATTTAATTTTGTTGATACATATGCAAGATGTGTGATCAGAGACACAAAGCACAGAGGAATTTTTGCTGAGTTATGTTCCAGAACAGCTGTAGCCGGGAAGCCCTGTCCTTAACTGGCACTTGGGACTGCCCCATACAAAACAGATGAGAACTGTAGCTTCTCTGTTTATACCAGTACAAGTATTGGTTATTCAAAAGCAGAAGTTTTACAGGCACTAATGAGGTGTGCAAAATGTGACCTGAAGCTCAAGAACTAATTAATAGCAGGAATTTGAAGAGAGTTTTGGCTGGCCAGATGCAGATGTAGGTGGCTAGGCTGGTAAGATGAGATTCCTCGGGAGCAGCTTGAAACCTCTGAATTGCTGAGGTAATGTAGGGAGGAAAGACCTTTAAAACAAAAACCAAAACACAACCTCTTGGGCAATCCAAAATTATTTAGTCTTAAGCTAATTCTGGATATGTGTGTTTTCAAAAGAGTCTTTAAAATTCCATAAAGGTACTTCGTCCCTAAGAAAGCATAGTTAGAAATGTAGGAATTTTATTTGTTTGTAAACTAATGAGCTTGGCTAGCTGTTTAGGGAAAACCCAATACAACACTTTGTAATTACACAAGCATACTTCTTTCCATATAAAAGAGAAAACTGTCACTTACTGAAACAATTCTGCTGCATTGATCACAGCCTGGATTTCTGCACCTTTAAAAACTGTACTGTATATGCTCATATTTCACTAAATTTATATTGGCTTTCCCAAAGGAGAAGCAGGTTATTTCATCATGTTTGTGAATTAATTTCAGAACTATGTATAGCCTAAAGGAGCGTTGTTAGGCTTCTTTTTCCCTGTCTCTGTTTATTAAAACCATGGCATTATTATTTTTTTAAATACATGACTTTCAATTTTTTTTTTTAATTATGGTAGTGATTATGAGAACTTCCGTAACAAACATGTAGGTATTTGACACAGAAGGAAATAACATAATGCTAACAGAACAGAATTGTGCACACCTTGGACACTCACCCTCTCTAGCATACTTCAAGCTCATGTAAGTGACAATCAAAAGTTTTCTCTTTGCAAATGTGTTTTGAGCAGAGATGTGGTTGTGCCCAGATCCACCACTGCCCATTCTAGCCGCGCTCCGCCTGGCGATGAGCTTGCTGTCATGTCTGTGCTGAAGGTGAGCGCTGGGTTTCACAGCGTTGCTCGTCTGGCCAGTCTCCCTGGCCTAGTGGCAGAGCTTGGCCAGGACGGTGGTACGGATTTCTCTTTACTGATTTAAGCTCTTTTTTGGGGAAAAAAAAAAAAATCTAAATTAATTATTGTTTTCTTTTCTAGATCCGAGTCTGCCTTGGTCTAGCGTTCCCAAAGCAGCCCTAAGGTCGCAAGGCTGGCAGAAGCACCGTGGCGGCTGCGCCTGGCAGCAGCGCACCCGGGCGAGCACCGGGCCGCGCTCGGCGCTCGGCGGCTCCCGGCGGCGGCCGCTCCCGGCCGGAGCCGCAGCCGGTGCCGCGCCGCCCGGCGCTCCGGAGGGCGCTGCCGCGGCCGGCCAGCGTGTGCGGGACGTGCCGTGGGGCGGCGGGCGCCGCTGCCTACGTGCGGGGCCGCGGGGCGGGGCCGGAGCCGCGCCAGCCCCGCGCGCAGCAAGGGGGAGGCGATGCTGATGCTGGACTGCAGCTCCGAGGTGAGCTTTGCGAGGGTCTGCCTGTGCTTCTGTCTCACCGAGGGCCCAGCTGCAGAAGTGAATGAGGCGTTGTTTGCCTTGAGCTGCGGGGTTAATGTTGGGGTACTACTGCTGTCGATCGGTATTTCTGGTTAAGAGATTAAAAGCCAAAAGAGTCTTTCTTGCACTGCTCTATAAAAAAGAAAATATTTAAAAGGCAATTTCAAGGAACATGAAGGTCCAATGATTTGCAAGGGGAATGTTTTTTGCTGTGATGCAGTATTCTGAGACCTGCCCTGGCTTACACTGAAGTAACATTTTTTTTCTTTTGGTATCTCGTTTCAGTCTGGTAGTTTCAGCAACCTGTTTGAGACAGGAACCGGTGTGAATGCACCTGCAGATGCCTCTGGTCAGTCTCCAGCTCACTTGGCTGCTTGTGGTGGTGAAGCGTTTTTCCTACTTTGGCAACTGCAGACAGGAGCAAATTTGAACCAACAGGTAAAAACCACATATATTTTATTCCTTCCACTTCTAGTCTGGAATGCAGAAGTAAATCCACTTACTATTATTGACACTTTTTATCTAAGAGAGGTTTTTTTTTATACTCAGTTGTATTGCATGAGATATCTAGGGTTGCTTGTTCTAGAGTAACTTCTAGCATGAACCAGAAACCATGTGTATATTGCATTAGCAACTTCACTTGCAATGTATAATTTAATTTTCACACTTAAGAGTGCTGCATGCAGATGTCCAAACAATTAAATTCTTTTACACAACTGAGTATTTATTTTTCCTCCAAAAGTTTGTCCCTACTTCAAGTAAATGTAAAGATTCTTACTTGAGTTGCTTAGTTTAATTCCTTATACCTCTGAGCTGGTAGCAAGCTATTGATCACAGCAATCCCTGAATGGTGCTAAGAGATGCTTAATCCATGCAGAGAGTATTCTGTGTAAGTTATCTTTTAGAAGGCAAAAGTTAAACAATGAGTACTGCAGGAGACAGCACTTCTGCTTTGTGGTGGTGTGGTGATACATTCGACATTTAATGGTCATTACCAAGTACACTGTACTAGCTATATTCCTTTAATCTCTCTCTGAGCTTACAACAGACTGGTGTACATAAACAGTCGTTTTGGAGAACACGACAGCTTTATCCTACTCCTACTCTTGCAAATGACTGTTATATATAAATTGTGTTTTTAGGATTGCCTTGGAGAAGCTCCGATACATAAAGCAGCAAAAGTTGGGAGTTTGGAATGTCTTGCTCTCCTTGTTGCTGGTGATGCTAAAATTGAGTAAGTTGAGTGACATTTAGTAACTTCAGTAAGAGCATCAAAGGTTGTGCATTTTACAGAGTACATTTAACTTGCTCAGAACACGCATGCTAAGGCTGTAAACGTAGCATGACTATAGCCATAGGAGTATTAAAAACTGACATAAACACCAAAGGAGCACCAACCACATGCTCACATGGTGTTGTTTAGCTATATACCTCTGTGATAACTGCTGAGAGAATATTCCTGGTCATAATCTCACCCTCTTTTTGCCTTTCTGATATGCTAAAGCCAATAATAGTCTGATGACAAATTTATTTTAAAATAATTATTTCTTTTTGTATTTAATACCAACCCCCTGTATGAGCCCTAACTTATCCACGACAAACCTTCTTGGTATTGACTCTCAGTACTTATTTTTATGCATCTGCCTAAATTACCACTTAATCAGTGCTTACTCATTATTCCATTTTAATCAGTTATTGTTAATTCTGTATTTCAGCTTATGCAACAACAGTGGACAGACAGCAGCAGACCTTGCACTGGATTATGGCTTTCTGGAATGTGCCAAGTTCCTCAGGACAATTCAGCACACTCAGACAATGAAACTGAAAGGACAGTCTGGATACTCGCTAAGTGACAGACATGGCTGGCAGAGAGAGGCTCCAACTGCACAGAAACAAGAAAGTGAAACCAGCAGATCCGTAAACAGGAAGAGGAGACTATCAGATGGTGTGTAATACTGTTGGTTTAATACAATTCAGAATATTTAAAAAAATGTTTTTAGCATCTAAGTAAAACAAATGTGTGTTAGAGCAGTTAGATTTAGAAGCCTCCTAGTAAGGATGAACTTGCATAGGTACTTAAGGTGAGGGTCTTCTTCGAAATGGACAGTACATGTGGAATATCACTTATGAGGCTAATTCAACACAGAAAAATGAAAATCGTGGGTACTATTGCTGATCTACTGATGAAGTAGCCACAGACTTGTTTCTATGACAGATCTTGTCTCCTAGTTGCCAGAAGAAACAGCTTGTAACCCCAACATGAAATAAGGGGGATCTGAAGTCTGAAGAACCATGACTGGATGATACACTGAGCAGTCAGATGTGTGTGCTGGGACATTGTCTCCTTCTGAGAAGGAGGAATGCTTGTTTATTGTTACTTCTTACAGAAGAATTTTGTGAGGTTTTTTTCCCCCTTGGAACTTGTATTCATTCAGCTATAAATAAATGAGCATAGGAAAATTAATTATCTTGCTTTTTCTGTGTAAATATGACAGCAAAATTAATAAAATTCAGTAAATATAGCCATTCTTTTCCCTCTCCTAAAATATGTCATCAGGAATACCAGCAACAGACAAGGCCTTTGAACAGATTCATAATGGACAAGACAGGTGGCTAAGTGGAACTTGAAACACAGAGGACAGTTTATCTTTTTGTCATTAAAGAATTCCATAAAACAAACAGATTCAGCATTTAATCTAAAAAGATTCTAGCAGGAGAGGAAATACTATATAAGCCTAAAATTGTGCTATGGAAAAGTACAGAGTATTTGTTGCCTAATAAATGCATTTGTAAGGAATACAGTTCAAAGCAGGTAATTTATTTCTAGAGGTTTCATTTTAAAAAAATAGTTTCTTAATTTAAGCCATTCAGCCAAAATTTCTATTTCAAGTGGGTTTAGATTGACTTAAAGCATTATTTTGATAAATAACAGGACAATTTTATCTAGATCAGCTACTATTCTGTCTCAGCACATTCAGCGTAAGAGTGAATTTAAATAGCCTTTGGTCGTTGAGGTAGGCACAGGTTATAATAGGCGTCCTTGTTCCAAAAATCTGGGCCCTTCCATCCACACCAGCCCTGTCCAAGGAAAAGCAAGATAGCTTTTAAATCTACTTTGAATTCTGTTTTTCCTGTCTACTACTATTGAGTCTATTCTTATTTTACTAATCATACTAATCTAAGCTGTATTAATTATTTTCAAACGTCTACAGAAGGCAATGACAATTTTCTTAAAGTTCTCTACATATCTGGAAACACATTAATGGAAACCACATTACAAAAACATTCTCTCCCTCTTCCTCCCTCCCCACCTTAATTCTTACCAAGTACCATCTTGTCCCCATCCCACTTCCCCACTACCTTCTGGTGTTCCTGAGAGGCTAATGTTATTCTGAAACGCCATCATTCTCACAGTTTCCCTTAGTTCCTCCCTAGACACTTCTGGTGAGGAAAGTGGGTTCTGCATTTATTTTATCCTCCTGGACCACTGAACCATTCTAACAGCTAGTAGCTGTAACAGCCTTTGGTCCTACACATTCTTTGGAAAATGTTTCTTCCTGTGTTCATTTCAAGCTTTGATTATAG